GAAGGCTCAAAAAAGCGCGAGCAGTGCTCAGCGTCGCTGCCACTCTGCTCAAATAGTGCCGAGTTTTGGCACTATTCCAACTTGTTCAAATAGTTGTGCCGCGAAACGTGCCTCTAATTACAGGTACCATCCTCGCATAGGAATCGCATTATTTTGAGAATGTTGAGGAAGTCGAGGCTTTAATAGGCAATTCTTGGGAGTGTTCTTGAAGTTGGACTCCTACTTGCTTCTACTTGTTACTCAGTGAAGTGAAGTACCATAGATGCTCGGAGTACTTAATGTATTGAAGTAATGGTGGCAGAAGCTGGCCCTTGCTCGCCTCGCCGCCGTTGTGACGTCACCAACACGCGAACGCGTCCGCGCCGCCGGTGAGCTTTTCCATGTAGCCCTGTCCCTGGAAGGCTACCTATCCTATGACCGATTGAAGAAATTGTGTAGCAGCTTCAGGTGGAGCGATTACGGTAAGCCTCGTTGAGCTCGACGGTGATGACAGATGACGTCATATTCTGAAGACGGTGAGGGCAGTGAAGAAGGGCCTGCTTCTGTTTACGGGGAACATCTAAGGAATATCTCCGTCGAATGTTTACTGATGTGTGCCGTGCGCGAAGCGACTCTCCCCCCCCCCTTCCCCTTCCCTTAGGCTAAATCGCATTCAAATATCACAACGTTACTATGGAAAGCGGTAACCCGATAAGGGATTCATCATTTTCGAATGATTAAATAATAACTAAAATTACAAAATAAATAGAAATTTCAATAATGCTCCGAATGCTTTTATGCTTTCCATCGAAGCTACAGCCTGGTTTCAAACCATTTTATCAGAATATCCGCGCTTTGAGCAGGCTACACAATGACTGAGTAACTATTAATGATTTCAAAGTTCAAGGGCGCGTAAATATCACCAGATAAGGTAAGGGTTCCATCTATAGCGCTCACCTGGCTGCTAGTAGATACGACCAGAACGGCAGAGCTTTTGTTTGCACATTTGGTGACTTGAAAAACGTATAAATCCTGTGTACACTCCAATTCTTTTTCAATTTTGAATGATAAAAAAGGATAACGTTCTCCAAATAGTTAGTTTGGCTAACATTAAGCACTCAGTCTTTTTGTCGTTTTTGTCTGCACTTTCCTACTTGCAGGATTCTCTACTGGTCTACCTCCAGCTCATTATACTCCAGCATTCCCTGAGCCTGCACAGGCGCAAAGAGTGGCACCTTCTGGTTTTGGCTCTATTCCAAAGAGCAATACTCTCGGAGCTATAGCTGAAGTGGGATCTGGGGCAGTTCCGCAGAACACGTTGTCGTTTGACATAATGCAACAACAAGCGTTCTCTAATTCTTACGGTACGTTTTTTTTGTGAAACTCGTCAATCGCTCACTGTTTATCGCTCTATAAATAGTTTTAATGTCGAAGCGCAATTGTTTACTTGGGCCATGGTATCAGGTGATAGTTTTTACCGTAGTTGGTGGAAAATAAAACAGTGGCGTTGGTATGAAGAGGGAAAGGGGTGGTTTCTGTGCTGTGCTGTGAGGGAGCTTTTGAAGCCAGCAGCCTAGGAATGTAGTTGCTGCAGGATCCTCCCAATCTTCCCTTGCAACGAAATACGGAAATAAAGGGGCGTCTGTATGTGATGCTATTGAACGCATCCTGGCCAGTGCAGTACTGTACGGATTTCCGTCCATAAGTCCTCAAACATCAGAGATGTGCACTACGAAGATTCAGAAGCCACCTATTACAAGCTTCATCTGCTATGGGCTTTTTTTCAAATCGGCGACATATGGTTCACATTTGAAGTATTCCCAGATCAAATTGGTGTGGTAACAGCAGTTGATAATGAAATTTTGGATTCCGAAATGACAAAATGAGAAGAACCAAAGCCAACCGCTGTTGAAGCTATTAACAAGTATCACATTAAGGAAAGGGGCGGGGCCGGACGAGTTTTGCGAAATTCTTAGCTCCACGTCTGCACCAACCCGCGCGTGTTTGAATTAGCCGCTACGCTGTCATCCACTTTACGTGTCATGGGATGTGCAGTTGGTATTATCTCTCTATAAGTTCGCTTTTAGACCACTTTATAAGCCGCTAGCGCCATTTTCGCGCACTTCCATGCCGTGAAAACGCAATAAGTGTGGTACTTGTGGGGTACCCTATCCCACCCACACAAAAGACTTTGACTCGACCTAATCTGGGTTTGTTGCTTTGCTCACATTTAAACTTGCTGACTTCTTATTGTAACTCTTAACTGCTCGAAACGATGCGCGGAGCAGAAAATTCTCAGGTTTCTGCTCCAAATGGGATGATTAGGCTACTTGAACGACCACCTAGGTCAGCTGATATATTGAGATAAGTTCCAGATGGCGTTAACCATAAGAACATCTTGATATTAAATTCGAAGAAGGCATTATTGAAAGTGCATCCCAGGAAGCCTACAAGCTTTGCTGTGTTGTGTATCTCGCACGTTCCTTGGCCCTAGGAGTTCACCGCGATATGCTTTTCTCATCCAGTTCTGCAGTATATAATTGTTAGACATGATTTGTGATACACCAGTGTGTTCATGTCCTCCAAAAGACTGCACTAGTTGTATTTGTTTAACGATTCCAGACATTTAGTCATGTTGAGTTATGTGCAAGCTATAGTTTTGCTTGATCAACCCGTGGTCTATACTGATTGAGAAATATGCTTCATTTAGCCAATATTGCGCCGAATCCCTTCATTCAACAGCCATTTGGAAGTGTGAATCCTCAACAGGTTGCAGTAAACAGTGACGCTTCCTGTCCTCATGTTGCTGGGACGTGGAACAATCCGTTTGTGATGCCTCTGGCACAGGTATTCACTACATTCATTTCTTTGTCATGAATTTGTACAGCACTGACATTTGTTGGGTTATAGACTCGTTATGGTGCCGATACAGTACACGGTGCAGGCGGTGTAGCTCGTCAGAGTAACATTCCTAATTGGAATCCATTTGTATAAAGTGGTTACTGGAAAAAATATTGAATCTCCAGCAACGTCTTCTAAGGATGCCTTTTCCTTTTTGCATCCATCCTAATACCCAAACATAATTTTGTGTATATGATCAACTTTCAAATATGACTTCTGCTGCTAGTGCTATGATTTTTTCTCAATTGTGTTCCATTGTGCGAGGTCTTCGGTCTATCTATTCGGTTAACCGTTTAGTGGATAATTGCTCTTCTATTCTTCTAATATTACTGCATTATGGGTCGTGATAAATCTTCCGCGTACGAAAGTCGCTCAAACTTTGAAAGATCTGCGTAACATTGTCTGTTAAGGTTGTGTCGGTAACCAGTATGTGTTTTTTATTGATGAGATTTTCCCATTTGTGCTCTAGTAGTCTTTTCTAGTCACTTTCATGTGTATTTATGACGTAGCTGTACTGTCCTGATAACATTTCCCATATGTATGCATAATTGTACTTGCGCATCGCACGGTTTCTCATTATAATGAACATTTTTCTCGAAGCTGAATATGCTTTGTCTTCATGTGTGCTCTTCCTACCGGCATTTTACCATTCAAAAACTTACTAATTGCGTACTAAATTTACACAAAACACACCAATGCATTCACCCCTATTTCCAGGCAACCTCAAGTTTTATTGCAGTTCATACCTCATTCCGATTTTTAACCCACTCGCGACCGGCGGGATTTTCGAAGACTGCCCGTTCGGACCAGCGCCGGCAGAGGCGATTGCGCAATGTCAGCCACCGGTGGCTGACATTGTCCCAGGGGAAATCCATCTTGTTTTTTTTTAGTTTTTTCTATATATCATCCGTAGTTCACGCTGAAACTTATCCCAAGAGGTTATCAAGGGTCCTGATCACGATTATGGGATTCATTTTGGCGCTGGCGCCAAATTGGCGCCATTTGGCGCCAGATGGCGCCCTGACTGAATTTCGTCAAATTCGATGTAAACTTGTATATAGGGGTTATTTGAGACCCTGATTACGAATATGACATTCATTTTTTCCGATTGCGAAAATTTACGCCACTTGCTACGCCAATTTGCGCTACGGCGCCATTTGGCGCCCCAGCAACTTTTTCCGCCACATTACGGTGAAACTCTGAAAGCACTAGTTTTTGATGGTCTTTATAATGAACATTATCTATTCTTGGTGTTTTTGGAGCAAATTTGGAAGCTCCAACCTAAATGCAAAAATTTTGTCATTATGAGGGATTGAACCTTGGACCATTTCCTCACCTTTTTTGGCCTTCGCGGGGCTGCTCAGCGAAAATGGACCTCGGTTTCGTAGTCTACGCATGAGCTCCCATAACATACAGAAAACCGTTTCGAAAAAGCTTTCAACATCCTGAACGACCCCCCTTGTTAGTCCTGATTGGATCCAATAGTGAGAGGGTGCAGGCGAGCAGGAAACAGGTGTTAAATAGCGCTAACGACTAAAACGAATGTCATATTCGTAATCAGGGCCTCAAATAACCCCCATACGCAAGTTTACAGCGAATTTGGTGAAGACACCCTTGGCGCCAAATGGCGCCAATTTGGCGCCAGCGCCAAAAATGGATATCATATTTGAGATCAGGACCCTCGAAAACCCCCATGGGAAAAGTTTCAGCGGAAAAAAATTTTCAACTTTTTCGGTGAAATTTTTAAGTCAGGATTTTTTTTTCAATAAAATTATACATCATTATTTTTTTCTTCAATAAAATTCTAGTGGATAGAGATTTCCTCTGCCCAGGGGTGGCCTAGATAGATGAGGGTATGAAGATTCTTCACAGCAAAGAAAATCTCCCAAAGACCTCCTTTTGTTTTCAAAAATTCCATTTAAAGCCCGTCAGCCACCGGTGGCTGACATGGTCCGAAGTGGACATCTTCGCGTCAGCCACCGGTGGCTGACATTGTCCGAAGTGGACATCCTCGTGTCAGCCACCGGTGGCTGACATTGTCGCGAATGGGTCAAAAAAGAAAAGAAAAACGCCACGAAATCAAGGCCTTTGAGCGCATGCATAGTCGGTCCGTCGATAGTAACGACCGCACAGCGTAGCGGTTGTCACACGTGCCCGAGGACTGGACGATCAATACGTATCTAATGCTGTGCGGATCGCATGTCCGACTAAAATGTGCCTTAGAAGAGCTCAAAATTCACAAAATTTTCAAAACACCGGATTTATTTCCAACAGTACAACTTCCAACGATTGCAGCGGATCTTGCATAATACTGGGAAAGGGTAACGGAAACACATTTGCTATAGACAGGAGACAGTATTTAATAAATTACGGTAGACAACACTCACATTTGTTCCACACAATTATTTCACACGTCTATGTACAAATTTCGTATAACAAAATAGTGATCTCTACGAAGAAAACGTACACGCACGGTTTCTTCACTTTTTTGCTGCAAAAAGAGCAGCAACGATGCCAGCCACAACTACTGCTCCGCCACCGAGGACGGCCAGTCCGAAGAGACCATCTGAGAAAAAAGAAGTTTAAAAGTCGCGACTCAACGATGTCTGATGATTCACAGATAAAGCACATAGGCAGTGGCAACTGCATTAATAGTTGTGATCTCAAAAAACTAAGGAAAAGCTATCCAGCAGAACGCATGTGACTAACGACCGCTCATGTGTTGTAGAGTATATCAGGATGAAGTGACGCTAAGCTTTCCTTGGCAGGTAAAATAGCGGCGTAAATGCAAAATTTGCAGTTTCAACAGTCACCTTTCTCCCTTAACCCCCCCCCCGCTCGACGGCATTTTGGAGGAAAAAGTGGGCGGAGTTTTCGTGGGTTGAGTGATACCAGAATTAAATACTATAGCGAGGAATATGGTGGTCGAGGGTCGAGAAGGGGTCGTACCAAATCCACCTTTGGGGAGGGGGGTCGTAAAAATTTTTTTCGAAAAGTAGCAACGATAGGACCGACCCTTGGGGGGGCACGCGGCGGCGCGGCAGTCTGCTCGCCTGGCATGTTCGGAAATCCGTGGGCCAGGGGGAGTGTAGGCAGTCTAGGGGGGTGGGGGGGGGCAGTCACTTGACATGCGTGAAAAGCTGGAATGTTCGAGTTTACACTGTCTCGCTCGAGAGAGCCCAGGTGAGCAGACTGCCGCGCCGCCGCGTGGCCCCCCCCAACTAAGTTAGCACCGATTCAACACACGTTAGCAGACGAGCTCTAGTTTCCTGATATCCGGTAATTTACTAATGCATAACATCGCAAAACGAACTGCCTTCATTAGTTGCTAAACAGTACTGCCCTTTAGTTCGAATGGCGCTTTGCCTGCCTTTCATGAATGGGCGTTCAGAATCACAAAAAATTCCATTTCGATATGCAAGCGCATATCAAACGAGTGCATGGCGCATCTCAGAGCATGAGAGTATACAGCAGAAGTGTCCGATTGGAGCACGGGAGCGTTGAACGTTCGCATTGCGCGCGCAATCTTCCCCTCGGCGCAGCGCGGGCAGCGAGAAACAGACTATTGACTTTCAAATAAGCGTAATTTTGTTCAATATCAATATTTCTTAAAACGCTAAGTAGATTTGTCATCTACAAAACTGCTTGTTTCAGAAGGTAACCACGATTATGCCTTATCTTCAAAACTACGTCAGTTATGGGGTAGAGAACAAAGAATTCACAGAAATGCGCACTTCGTCCTTTGAAAGGTTGTAACTTTCTTCAAAGAAGGAATTATGAGGAGCGGTAAGAAAATTTGGAAAGCTCAGACTGTTTTCTTTCTAAAAAGCTCAAGCTTTCGCAAAAACTCTTTCCTTCAAAAAATCGCCCCGTTGGACCGTTTTTTTCGCAAGACCAGGTTTTTTGGCTTTCAATGGCTATAACTTTCTTCAAATTCCACCTTCTGCGATTCTTGTCCCCCTGGGTTGAAGAAGAAGGTTAGAGCTTTCTAACAAATACTTGAACTCCTCTTCAAAGTTGAAGGAGTCAAAAAATCGCCCCGTTGGACCGTTTTTGGGAAATCGCGGACCGATTTTTTGCAGAGCGCTGGTTTTTTGGCTTCAAATTGTTATAACTTTCTTCAGATTGAACTTTTTGCAGTTCTTGTCCCCCTGGATTGAAGTAGAAGGTTAGAGCTTTCCAAATACTTGAGCTCCTTCTAAAGTCGAAGGAGTCAAAAATCGCCCCGTTGGACCGTTTTTTTTCATGAATTTTCGGCGCTACTCTCCTGAAAACACGGGTTTTCAACACTTAAACACTGACAACTCTCTTCAAACTCAATTTTATCGGGAATTATGATACCGTGACATCGCACGAGCTCTGTGCTTCATTACAGATGCTAAACCCATTTCAAGAAGTTGCCGACAGGCAAATATTTTTGTTCCCAAACTTTTCTTGTAGCCCTTTAGCAGTCAATCTACCAAAGAGGTCACTCTTTTATTAACTTAGGTCCAGTTTGAAGGCATTGGTTCACCTCTAGAATTATATTTGTGTACGTGCGCAGTCAAATATGGATACTTTCGCAGCAGACTCTTCTGCTCTGATGTGCGCCATGCACTCGTTTGTGCTTAATAGTTGAAGAAGCACTCAAAAGTTTTACCTCTCCCCTACTGTCGCGAGAACTAACGTCTTGATTCTAATCGTTCGATGGTCCCAGCAAGAGCCAACAGCTGCGAGCTTCATCACAACACACATTAGGTTCCTTATAGCGAAAACCACCTCTCGTCATCTACACCCAAAAACCTCTTCGTACTGCAACGTTGACTCCTGCGAATACGACCCCCCTCTAGCGTCGGCCAAATACGACCCCCCCGTTGGACTTTGTCCAACGGACGGTTGACCCTGCTCGCACTACTGCCTTCCATTCCACCAATAGAATGCACAGTCTGCGTACATTATAGATGCTGAGCAGCCCTTCAAAATAGCATTTCTTTCGATAAAATCTGTTGAATGATCACCAAAGATAGCGGAAAAAACACTGATAATTCTTATACAGCCAGATCTTGGCGCTGTTGACGCATGTGTCAACTCAGCCGTTATCACCTCGTTTGAGTTAAAAAAATTCAGAGGATATCAAGAAGTCTGAGAGTTAACCATCGAAAAGCATAAGAATGGCAAGTAAATTTGTAGCATTTTTGTTTCAGTATTTGAACCCTGACTATACTTGTCTTATCCATGACATAGCAACACCTAAAAATTCACCGATTTCGCGGGTCTAAGACTTGATGGAATCGGAAACGATGATTGCTCATAAGAACGCTTCGAAAGAGGGCATGGCAGTACGAATAAGAAATTAAGAAAAGCTCGGTCACATCACGTGAATTGGGTTTCGCTTTTAAAAGGCGTATTCACATGGCGAAGTCATCCTATGCAAAGGCCGAAAAATAAAGAATTCTTTACAATTCACCCTATTCATCGGTCTTCTGCGTACCGACTGCAGGCGAATGGATTAAACTAATAGTTAAGACAATAGCTTGGAGCAAGTTGTAAATCATAGCGGAAAAGTATCTCACTAATTATTATCTGCGTTTCATTTCTAACCAAAAGTTTATGCTGGGTAAAACTTAAGGAATTATTCACCAACCCAATAAGAAGAGGGTAATGATAACCTTATTTATTGATTTTATTTGTTCATTTCCATACGTCCAAAGGACCCGCTTGGTAGATATACAGAGTATATTGATATATTGGTAGATACAGAGTATATTCAAATAGAAATACTATCAGCCGCTAAAAGGGCAGCAGTCGTCCTCAGTTGAGTCACAACAATTAATGACGGGTTAACGACTGACTTAACCAACTTGTAAAGGACAAAAACGAGAGAGGGGGTGTTCAAAAGATTCCTTGAGTATTTTTTGAACTCTGGGTCATACACTAGGTTGATCAGTGAATTTGTGTACAGATTTGGAAGTAACAAAGAGCATTGCCATGAGCCATAAGGTTAGTGCCTCAAAGATAACCCTACTGCGAGGCCGCAGCCCTACTAGGGCGGGCGTAGAAACACCTCTTTGATCTAAATACGAACCCTAGGGGCTGGCTCGGGGGCGCTTGTGAGGATAGCTAACCACGCGCTGCCATAACTTTATATCTAATTGGAAAGCATGAGGCTCCACTGAAGGACTCAAACTCTTCGAAAGCTTGGTAGATATAAACGAGAACATACCATTCGACAGTAAGATGGTGAAAGTATATAGGAATTACCTTTTTTCATTCTTCTCTCAATGATGTCACGGAGTTGTGATGCCTGCCTGTTATGCGTTTCAGCAGCAAGCAAAATGTCAATATAAGCGAGAGCTCGATCATAGTTCTGGAATAATCAAACTCATCCTCGCAAGTCTACTTGCCTCATACGGACACATGTGAAAACAATCCATAATTAAGGCATTACGGTGTGAAAAAATATTCGGCCTCAAAAGGAATTGTACAATCTCAGGTATGGAAAAGAGGCAGTTTACAGCATTTGTGGTTCCGAAATATTTCGCCAGAATTCCAATTAGGCAGTGTAGCAAGATTAAATGTGAATTCTCACAACCCTTGTTGGTGGCACACTCTGCGCCTGAGGTCTATGATGCCCTCACTGTTCAAATAACGAAACGGTCCGATAAATATGGGGTAAACGGTGCTAATTGGGTTGGGGGGGACCTCGCAGCGGCCCGGGTTTACGGACTACTTGATTTTTCCTCAATGGTCCTGCCGCGATGGCTAGAGCACAGACGATTAGAGAACGGGTGAATGCCCTAGGACTAAGCCTTGGAGAGGAGAGGGACCCGCGAGAGAGCGCAGAGGCGGTTTAAAGGGCTGAGTTCAAGTAGTCCGTCGACCCGACGACCCGCCACTCTGCTCGCCTGGCGCTCTCTTAAGCGAAATAGTGTATACTGAAACCTTTCAGCTTTTCACGCATGTCGAGTGACGAATTTACCGAAGTACGCAATCTTGCAGGACGAGCAGAGTGCCGCGCCGCCGCACCCTCCCCCAACTCACTTAGCACCGGGTAAACAACAAGAGCCCATACCTGAAATTCAGGATGAGAAATGATTTGTAAAAAAAAAGCATTTAGCCTATGCAGTGCTGGTTCGCTACGCAGTACTTCCCCGGGAGAACCCTGCGAGCGAACATGCAAAGCAGCTTTGTCATTACATTCCTCTTTTTGAAAATGCTTACAGTCAATGTTCTTTTACTCTCCAAAAGAATCATGCGGGCCAAATGCGCTATCGTTTAGTGGATCGTCCCGCAGGGTTCGTTTAGTGCAGGTTAGTCTAGCGCAACCCTCCAAATGATCTCTGTAGACTCTCTCAGATTTGACGGACGATCGATACGTACCTAATGCTGTGCGACGTTACGATTAGACGACCAACTATGAAAGCGCCCTTCAACTCCCACATGGCGGAACAAATAAACGGAATCGCAATTAAGAATTAAATAAGAGAAAAAGTAACACTCACGCGTAGACGAGCATTGGCGATAGCCAGAAAGTATACGTAGTCTCTCTTGTTCACATCATCGGGCTCCTCTCGCAAGAGTTCTAAAATTTACGTCAATATTGGAGCATCAGAATCCAAATGCTGACTACTTTACTCGCTTTCCAAAAGTTCAGTTCCTTCAACAACATCGGACTTTGTAGATCGTATTAGAGCAGTCCCATAGTTGAACGTAGCAATCGCACTAGGCGAGCCCCGTTTACGCTGAGTCTCGTAGGCTTCGCGAAATCTCTGGAAAGAGTCATCAATGAAAAAACTATGATCATGTGACCGGAGATAGGATCTCACCTCGAGGTCATACTGGTCGACCCGTTCATCAAGAATACTTTCGACGTCCATCAGAACAAAGTCGCTACTGCAATGAGAATAAACTGAAGCAGGAAAGTCGTGCGAGAGCAATGAAAGTATGCAGAGAGCGGTTTATAAGAACGCAGCTGTATGACGAGGAAATGAACTGCCAACTACACAGTATTGCGAAAAATGGAAACAGAATACGAAGTCATCCACATGGAATGCGCCAAGCAACACCGTTGGCGCCGACTGTGCTCATTATGTCACGGCTTTTTCGTGCATGCGACGATTACTGTGTGACTAACGGTGCACACTTCGTTCATGTGTTGTTGCGTAATATTTGATGTAAAGATTCGTCATACTTCTACTATGAGCAGCTTCACCTCTTCTTACATCACTACTGCGGAGCTGATTTCGTCTGGCTTCAGTTGTTCGAGGCTATCATTTGCAGTGATTGGGAGGAGTGGCACCTTTGGTTCCTTTGTAGTTTCATGGCATGCATAGAATATTTGTGCGGAGGCTATCATGGGCGTACAAGACTTTTCTTTTTCAAAAGCTTGTATGACAAGATAGAGGGTTGAACGTCCGTTCGTAGTTTACACTGAGCGGCGTTGCATTCAAGATTTCGAAAAAAATGGTCGTATTTTTGGTATCCTTCTATTATTATAAAGCGCTAACTTTGTGTGTCGGTTTGTATGTATGTGTGTGTGTATGTATGTATGTATGTGTGTCCGTCCGCAAAATGAAGTGAGTGAGAAGGAAGCTCATGGGATAAACAAACCGCTAACAAATCGGGTAGCTTACAGGATTTGAGATATCAATGTTTTGTAGCAGGATAGTTGTGATAACACTCTTAGGGCTATATAAACACCTGCTTAGCACACTTCCGTTCATTCCACATGGTGCTGCAGTGGCAGCTGGAGGGCAGTGGAGAAGGAGGATGGGAAGGGAAGCGGAAAAATCTACCGTCATATCATGATTATGGCGATGCCCTTCTACTGTATGAAACTCCTTTGTGTTTCATACGTGTCACCTCCAGGAGGTGTTGGTGTCACAGGTGGAAGTGACCACAGCGGAAGATATAGAGCTTGCGCAGAAAGGAAGGTCCCGGCGGTTGACGGGGGACCAAATCTGGTCTTGAAAGTGTGAGTCAGTGAAATGAGTCCATTCACACACACTACACACACTCTCTCTCACACTCACTCATCTCAACGCGTTAACCTTTATATACATCACCTACAGGCGGGTGTGGGTACTTAGGACAGAACGCGACTTTTTCGCTCTTCGCAACGCGACATCGCGCGGCAGGCTGGCGCACCCGCAGCGAAAACAACTACGGTATGGAAGAACGCGCGATTGGAGCGCGATATTTGTGTCGGCTTTGATTGCGACAAGGAGTTTGAAGCTTAATAGCCATGGATTTGATAATGAACGAGGAAATGGTAACCAGAAGTGGACCGCTAACTAGCAGTGAAGAGGGAGGTAGGTTATTTTTGCAGAGATGGATGGTAGAGCTTCTGGAGAACCTGGAAGAGGAATGGTTGATGGACGTTTGATGAGACGACTGTAAACTTCTGCATAGGGGTTATTTGGGGCCCTGATCATGAATATGACACTCATTTTTCACATTCGTGCTGTTTAACGCATACTTTCTGCTTTCCTAAGCTTTCTCACCTACAGCGCCTACGACTAAGCTTAGGGGAGGGGAGTGAAACTCCGGAGTGGGTAAACCACGCACCGTGTGGCAAAAGTTGGAGTGTGTCAGACCACAGGGGAATGGCCTACCCACTTTGGAGCCCTACACTACTCAAAGGCTTAGTCCTATTGCGATCTAATTAGTGCGAGGGCGCAGACGAGCAGGAAGCAGGCGCCGAATAGCGCTAACAACAAATCAGGACCCCGAATAACCCCTATACAGAAGTTTACAGCGAATTTAGTGGGAATCAGTTGTGGCGCCAAATGGCGCCAGCGTCAAAAATGAGTATCATATCCGTGATGAGGACAGAAGCGTTCCGTAAAAGATGTTATACCCTTATGCAGATGTCTATACAACAATATGAACCCACAAAATGCAAGCACAAGCGACACTATTAAACCCTCGTTCACCGATAATTCGTAAAACACCATTTGTGTGGCATCGCCCGGAATCGTGTAAGTCACAAAACGTTTTCAATAATGAGACAGAATTAGTGATTCACCGCATTTATCAATACAATGGTGTCACAGGAGGAAGGGACCATAGCGGAGGATATAGAGCTTGCGCAGAAAGGAAGGTCCCGGCGGTTGACGGGGGACCAATCTGGTCTGGTATAAGTCGTAGTCGTGAAATGAGGTGCCATTAAAGAGATAAAACTTTTGTAGGACTAGTTATCTCAACAGTTACCTTTATATACATCACCCTCACCCCTCCTTCCTACTCTCGTTCGACTGACTGAAATAGTCAGGCTGGTGACAGAGTCCGCGATCCGTCGCGCGAATCGCAAAAATCGCAAGTGCCCCATTTGAACATTTGAAACACTGAATATGAAACAAGTAGAATCATGAACAGTCGTCATTCAACCATCACCATCAAGCAGAAATGGCGGCGGGATTGGAGAGCACCTCGCAGTATTGATCGGGCACTTGTGATTTCTGTGATCCGTCACGCGGTTCGCGCGACGGATCGCGGACTCTGACACCAGCCTCGCTGTGCTGGTAGTGGAAGTTGTGGAGATAGGAGTCTTATTGCCCATATTCTTATCAATGTCGCGGTTTTAACCCTGATAGTCTAGAATGTCTACATATCTAAGCGAGCCTGTTCATTAGCGAGGTCACGCCCAACATCTGTTGTGGAATAACAACATCTGAAAAAGAAAAGAAGATTAGGCATTAGACCTCGACCAATCCGTTTTTGAAATGTGCCACGCTATTCTCAGTTCAGAATTCATTCCTACTCCCATTTGGAATAGTGGCAACTGAATGTGATTTAGTCCATACATTTGTTTGTGAGGTGTGGCAGCCGATGTGCAAGACGGTGTTTTGATTCTGCCACACGAGTCTGGCACGAATTAACCACCCCCAGAGGGATGAATGGCATAGTTGGCTTGCTCAGTACACTCAAGGGTTTCGTCACTGCACCGCGCACTTGGGAAGCGACTTCACTTGCCAGTTCACCATGTCTGCCTTGTTAAAGGGGTACCGGTTCATATGGTTAATCTATGGGACTCAAATGAGAGTTTAGGTTCAGTTATGGATTGACAGAAGAACCAAAGGTGGTGATAGGGTCCCACTTTAAGTACTGAATAAGTTTGTTACCCATGGCTATCTGTGCGAACCCCTTTCAGCATGTTTGAGAGTAATGGCCGATCGATAAATTTGTTCAAAAGGAACAAATAAAAAAGTGGAAAAAAGGGGGAGGTGACGCTAATTGTTTGTAAGAGACAGAGGGATAACAATGCCTCGTTCATATCTCGCCGGGTGTAGAATCGGGAAGAATGAAGATATGAATCGACTTGACATTCAGTTTTTCTCAAAACATAGCGGGCAGAGTCGGTCAATCAATTCTTTCTTATCTAATCTTACTTGCGGATTCGATCATTCTCCGATCCTTTTGTCTTGCAATTCTCATAATCGATTCGTATTTATCTATTTCCGCCGTTACTATGACTTTCTAAATCGTTGTAAGTCATGAGTGCAGAGTAACGTAATGGAGCACCCGACGTTGAACGTCGAGCTGTTGACATAAACAACGCGATTCCCATTCTTTTTGTGTCATGGAATAGGCCGATGTCATAGTTTGCGAATCGAGCGATTCGCTAGCGAATCACCGCAAGCTATGACATTGGACATAGACGTCGTCCATCTACCGTAAACCTCGTGTTCCACCACTGGCTCGTTCCAACCGTATCCAACACTTTTAAATGGGGAGGTATACAATGCACAGTGTCTCTTACGTACAAGCAAGTTACGAAGCAAGTATTGAAGGGAACGTTCGAGCTAAAGCAATAAATTGAGAAATCATAGAGCATAGAAATAGTTAAGCATTGGAAAGGAGCATAGGTGAGCACGAAAGATTACATAAATTACCCACCTGAGTGCATGATAAATAAACAAACAAGGTCACGTTACGCTGTGACAGTCTTGGCGCGTGACACCGATCTGTGCAATCGCGAGCTAAAACCATGACGCTAGTTTCTAAAAAGGAAAAAGGATAAAGCATTTGCCGTTGATCAATCCCTTTTTGGGATGCGGCACGCATTCTACTTCCATTTGTACATTCGTAGTGGCGTTTGAATGCGATGTGGCCTATACAATGACTTGCGGGGGCCAGCCGATGTACAAGTCAGTGTTTTTATCCTCCCAGACAAGTCTGGTACCAATTAACCGACCCCGGAGGGATGGAAGGCTTGGTTGGCCCGGGCGACTCACGACCCAGGATTTGATCCCCGGACCGCTCGCGTGGTAAGCGTGCCACTTGCCACTACACCACTTCCGCCCAATAGTCAGGATGCTTCTGTTAGGCCGCGTTCATAGTTCGCGACTCCGAGATTAGGATAGTAGTAGATTAGGATAGTAGTAGAGTAGGAGATTGCGCTGACAAGATTAGATACGTATCGATTGAAATCGCTGAGAGTATCGATTGAAATCGCCGGAGAGTAGTAGATTGCGATATTACGATAGTAGGATAGTAGTAGATTAGGATAGTGCGCTGACAAGATTAGATATGTATTGATCTATTCGCTTGAAGTCGCCCAATCTACTACTCTCCAGCGATTTCAATCGATACGTATCCAATCTTGTCAGCGCAATCTCCTACTCTACTACTATCCTAATATCCTGTCGCCTACTATCCTAATCTCCCGAGTCGCGAACTATGAACGCGGCCTTAGCGACTCATAGTTCAGGCATAACTGGGTCACCAGTGAGATCCGCTCTTCCGGTCTCTAGCTAATGGCTAGAGCCTGGGTAGAGCTTGAAACTCAGTTGATGCACCCACATTAGAAGAGTTGCATGCATTTCCATAGCGGAATATCTTCGATCTTACTTTTCGGCGCCCGACTTATTAAGCATTCCGATATCTTACCTCGAAAATTCCGCTTTGAGACTCCCTATGACTTTGAAGAGATCGGAAGTACCGCGTACTACATGTTTACAAGGGGTCGTTTAGTCAAGGTTTGCGCTTAATACAGGACCTATTGTTCACTCAGTGTTGATGTCATAACCTTCATGTTGGGGCGCTTTCTTCTCGCGGTAACTGGTCATATGAAGATTTCATTCGCTGATAAGATGAAGCAGGTGGTAAATAAAGGGTAAACGGGCGCTCCTGTAGCTGAGGCGGGGTGGTGGTGGTAGCATCTCGGTGCAAGCTTGTGCCACTTGCAGCAATGCCAATTTTCCCATGGAAAAAGCTCTAGGTTGGATCACCGATTCGCTAGTACAGAAATGGAACTGTATTCGCATTCCTTCCTTCGAGCCTCCTTCCTTCCTGCCTTCCTTTCCGGGTCATAATAAAAAAAGGCACTCGTATCCTGGGGGGAGGGCATTCAAAACAGGGCGTTAAAATACCGGTGGTAGGTGACACTAGACAGATAAGCCCAGGGTAGTGAGCGCCAGGGAGAACAAAAAATGCTGGATTTTTCCCCAGAATCCCTTCCCCTTCCTAAAGTTAGTTTCAGACACTGTAATAGCTCGCTCACTTGAATGTCTCCCCCCCTCCCCTCCAACGACATGGGCTTCAAACGCCTTAGGCTTTCTGCATTAGGGTGTCTCCAACTACCCTCGAAGCGATAAACACTTCATGCATAATATTAGACAAACAGGTGGAGGCGGCTAGAAACAGGAGTTCTGTGAATACTGGAGTAGTTGAATGGACGTCTTAGGCTGATTTCATAGTTTGCGCCGTCCGCACGGTCCGTGCGCAGAGTCGACGCCTTGCGCTTCATGCGCCAGTGCGCGTGTTGACGCTCTTCGCACTGTCCGTGCGCTCCGCACGTGCGGGCGGCGCACACTATAAACAGTCCTTAGTGTACTCTAGCTTCCGTTTCGGCCTGATAGTCGTGCTCTCCGCGGTTGCGGTAGTCACCTTAGAGGTCAGGCTGCACGCGCTTCCCTTGAGGTAATGCCAATGACATGTTAATTTGTGTGACCCTCGGGTTGGTGGATGGGGCCGGTATGGCGCGGCTCCCCCACTCTTCAGATTTGGGTCGCGGCTGCGGCATAACCCGCCGAGTATCGACAATCACTTACTGATTGTTGTCGAGGTGCATTAAGGCATCAGCTTGCCTGACGTATTTCGACTGTTAACATTGCCGGATCCGCGTTAATTGTAAACTCGAATACTTATCGGTAAGCTAGATGAGCGCATATAAGGTAAGCTGCTGCGCATCTCCGGGCGGGTTTCGCCGCGGCGACCAAATGTGAAGAAGTGGGGGCGCCGCGATTTGGCGGACTGTTTCTTCCGTCACGGCTCTACTAAGGTTTAGTCACCGATGGCGCGTAATTTGAAACCGCCCCATAATGGCGAAAGAGTAACTGCCCCCTGTGGATTAAGCCTGGAGGGGCAGACGAACAGGGCGCCGCGCCATCGCGTGCCCCCCCCCCCGAACCCGAGTTTCCCTGTTGATTGTTCTATGATGGTTTCATTCCAGACGCTCGTGCGTAGTACTTTGAAAATTTGTACACCGTAGAGCGCATTTACAAAATTTCCGGTAGTGATCGTTAAAATGGAGTCATTTGGGCGCTCTATCGAAGGGGCGCTTTCACAGTCGGTCGTCCGATCTGAACGATCGTAACGGCCGTACAGCTTAAGATGCGTATCGATCGTCCGATCTGAGCGGACGTGTTGGTCAACTGAACATCGTCTACTCTTTTCAATGTTTGAACGCTGCGATCGTACGGACGGCTAGAAACAGGGTCAAGCGAGGCGTTGAGGAAAATTTGGAAATACGACCCCCCCCCACCACCCTCCGCCGGAGGCCGAAGTCCATGAAACAACCCTCTTCAAAAGCCGAACTATGAAAAGGTTGAAAAGCTTGTTTAATTCTCCCCCAAAACTGCTCATAAAAAAGCCCTGCTACCCACATCACCTACCCATCGTCCACAAAAAAAACTCGTTTAAAAAGTATAAAAGTGAAAAAGTCAAAGAATGATCATTAATGACGAGTCCTGTCAAACGAGCAAACGAGAAACGGAGCAAAAAACGTCAAACTAGTCACTAGAAATGGCGTACTATGACAACACCTCTTCTTTGTTTATTTCCTTTTTCTTCTTTATTTATTTCCTCCACAAGACTTACCAAATTCTAGTACTACACAGATTATGGTTCTCAATTTACACGTCCCCTTTCGCTCAAAGGAAGCCTTGTAAAAGCCTTCGCCAGCTGTGTGTTGACTGGACTTTGGCGTTGACCGTGGAGCAGCTTATTTACTATTGAAATTTGAACAAATATTCAAATGATTATAACTTTCTTCAAATATGACGAATTTTCAATCTGAAAGCAGATTTGGGAGTTTTGTGAAGAGCTTTTTCTAATCAGTAGAAATTACAAAAAGTTATAAGAAATAACAAATTTAGGTCAATTAACGAGGAAAATTCGAGATGAGCACGAGTTTTTACACTTTCCGAAGCAACAACTTGCTTCATTTTCGTCAAATTCGAAAAGTTAATATGGCAGACAAAACTAGAAGATTTTCTCTACCAAACCGTTGCTAAAGCAGCTCTATACGTCCAGTATTCAAAAAATGGCCACGTTGAGGATTTGCAAAATTAACGAGGAAAATTTGTGATGAGTGCGAGTTTTTTTACTTTCCTAAAGCCATAACTCCGTTCAAACTCATCCAATCCGAAAAGTAAATACGCCATCATAAACTAGAAGATTTGCTCTATCAAATGCTTACTAGAACTGCTCCAAACGTCCAGTATTAAAAAAACGGCTACGTTGAGGATTTTCGCACGAGTACCGCCGAAAGGTACTTTTTCGCTACATTGGCACTATTTCAACGGCTGTATATCCTTTTAAGGGCGATTATGTACTAAAGTAAGAGCAGATTTGGAATCACTGCTTTTCTCTTTCTAAGAAAAGTGATTGATTAGCGTTTCTCAACTTTAAAGGTTACATGTTTATAAATTTAACCCTGAAGAGTCCGTTAACGCAATGTTGAATGGTGTACACCTCCCTGTAAATGCGCACGGACACTTTCAGAATTCTCTCGATTGTTCCTGAATTGAGGTTGTTTGTCCAAGGAGCCGTAGTTGAAGCGCGCGCAACAACTAGACCCTTTCTCGGATGCGCCGTGTACCTCACATCCCTTCAGATTCGGGGTCTTACTTGAAAGATGAAATATCTCTTGGAAAGCGTGCGAAATTCAGATTCTTTAACTTGTGTGGTGATAAAACACTGAAGTAACTAAGAATTACCGGACGCCTCAGAATCACGAAAATTTTGTGTGGGTGAAATATCATTTTCATTGGAAATCCTCTGGCCTGGCATCGACTCATCCTTGATATTTGTCTTCCGACGGTGATGATCCCACTGCATCAAAATGGCTCGATCTCTTCCACCCAGCGGGCCAATACGACCCCCCCCCTGCGACGTGTCGAGGATTCCTCAACGCACGCTTGACCCTGCGAGAGCAACCCTGCCTCCACCTTTCATGCCGGTCGGCTTCACCCGTACCTTAGGCCACTGAAGAGGTTCTAGTCGTGCACCTGGGCGACGGCGACGGATCTGAATAATCATCGCGCAGAGCACGCCATCCGAATCGTAGGACGATAAGAATCTCTAAATTCTTCTCTAAATTACTGTTTTGTAATTGTTCTGATGTTTGTTTTGTTGTGTTGTTGTTCCTCCATACGCCCTCTTTGTGCTATTAGTCGTCTATTAGTTTTGATCATTTCGTCCTTAAGCGCATTTTAAGTGACGGACTTTGACGGGGTACACGAGCTACTACTTTTGCTTAAGTCTTTTGAAGCAAATGACCTCATAGACGAGTCAGCGTAAGGGAGTACGGCCTTTTCCTTTCGCATTCTAATGAAGATTGCCTGTGGAACAGTTGGGCGAAAAGAAAGAGCCGTAACTGCCTAGTCCGCACCCATCTGAAACCGTTATGGACGCGTGCTGACGCGTCAATTCGCGCCTCCTTAAGTTCTTGATGTTTTAGGTGCTAAGTGGGGTGGGCACACCCAGCTTTTCACGCATGTCAAGTGACTGCCCTCACCCCCCACCCCCCTAGATTGGCTACACTCCCCCTGGCTCACGAATTCCCCGATTCTCGTGACAGTATAGTAGCGGGCAGCAGTCCCACTTACATACATTTCTGTTCAAAAAATGCGGCGTGCCCACCCTACTTGTATAGCACCTGTTTTTCTACTAGTTGTGTTGGAGATGGAGTCTTACTGATAATATGGGATAATTTCGCGATGACTCAGATTTGTCTCGTCTAACGGCAGTATTGATTGATATTTGTCGTATCTTTCTGGTTTTATGTATGAGGTCACCGGGACATTCGCTATTGTGCCAGTTCAAATATCTCGAACGACTCTAACTGTTCACTATTAATTCCGACTTGCAGAAGTTTATTTGTTTTTTCCCTTTGCTGTTCTGGCGCGAAGTTCTTGCCCGCGCTCTAGCGATGCTCGACAAAGTTTCAAAGAACAGAGCAGATTTTTTTCATCGATTTTCTTGGATAATAGGGTCTACTCGGTTCACTATGGAGCGCATTTCTTCCCATTAGTTGCCTTATCGCTTGCTCGCTTATCATTGCCTTTTTGTGGCTTCCATCGTAGCTTGACTGCTTCTTTTCGAGTTTTATTCGCCATTTCTACTGTCGAACTGCTATTAAAAAATTCATTAATCTGGTTTATAAATCTCAATGTTTTCTGTGATATTGTTTTAACAGTGGATATGTCGTGTATTGATTGTGCCGCTGTACATCCGAGTTGTTTATGTTCGGTGATGTGAGTCATTCGAACACGCGCGGTCATCTCACTCTCCTACTTATATTACCAGTTCTTAACGCACATTCGTATAGTTGTCCATTTTCAGGCAGTTAGCTTCAGGAGAGGACAATGCTTCGTTTTCTCGCTATTTTAGGTAAGAACGATTTCGAATCAGTCTGATTACTCATGCTTTTTCAATCAATCATCGTTCTTTAAGTTGCCATCTCCTTCGCGGAAGCTGAACATTGGACTGTAACCAACAGTGCTTCTAATACAACATGCATTGTTCTTGACAGCGATTCTGTTTCAGTCACCGTCAAATTCACCAAGGTGATTTACATTCCAGTTAGCTAGATTTTCTACATCAATTCTGTCGACAAAAAACCTTGTTTTTCTTCTGACTTAAGTCTTAAAGGGCTTTTAATTTAGCACTGGCATATTGATATATGCAGGTCTGTTGCTATGCTAGACATCAGTGCTAGAAATGGTCACGTTACACTTAATACACACGACCATATGTGTTATTACATTTCCACAAACTTTGTGGTGTGGTTCTAACTACGGTTTACGGACTACTTGATTTTTCCTCAATGGTCCTGCCGCGATGGCTAGAGCACAGACGATTAGAGAACGGGTGAATGCCCTAGGACTAAGCCTTGGAGAGAGGAGAGGACCCGCGAGAGAGCGCAGAGGCGACTTAAAGGGCTGAGTTCGAGTAGTCCGTCAACCTTCATCAGTTTCAAAAAGAAGGTATGTTCTGTACCCGAGAAAGCGAACTGACAGCTCTGGTACTTGGAAAATGGCCAAATAAGTGCGGAACGATTCTCGTTCGTGTAGCTAGGTGGTGCACATGGCGCACCACGTGGCACATAAAATGGTTAACCTGTTCTAGAAACTGCGAATCGGCTCATTTGAGAAGAGGAGAGGTTATACCAGGGGAAATTTATATGGCAGTGGTGAAGTATTAATAGGTGATATCGCTTGTATCATCTGTCATCACCAAGCTTTTGGTGCTGCGTTAGCATCGCCCTCATTTGCGCTGTAGATCCATCATAATTTGCTCGATGGACCTAGCTTTCATTTTTCCGCCTATAGCATTTGTGGAAAAGTATAGTAACCGACGGCTATCCTGCTCATCATTCAGCATTTTAAGGGATCCAGTCGGTAAGCGCCCTGGATCAATGATCATCGCAAAATTGCATGACGTGTTCGGCTCGCTCGGTCTTCGACCTCTAGTAAATACAGCAGCGTTTCAGATCTTTGATCGTTGGTGGAGCTCGGAATTCCTCATTTCCTTTTGAGTATGTGTGTGTGTGTAGGGGAGGCAACTGCAAGTTATGCTTCTACGTGCACACAATCTGAGGCTCTGAGAGTTACGGTAAAGTACAAAGACTACAGAATCGTAAAGGTGCTGGACGTTCAACGTCTTCTTCGCTACCCTGTCGATGTTCTCATATGCGCCCTATGCCATTTATTTCTCCCGCTGCATTCTTGAATAAAATGGTTAACCATCTTGATTTTCTAACCTAGGCTTACGTAACTTAAGCTTCCGCAGATGTTCTTTCCGTTGAGCGTGAATAGAGCGACAATAAGTTCGTTCCTCATCAACGTTGTCCTTGTTACATGCATATACAGTCGACCTTTCCACACTTGCAGGAGGCTGTAGGCAACAAGCCCCGAAGGTTCTCAGGAATAGTACATCCTCGACGATCCTAGGGGCTTGCTGCACACGATCTTCGGGAATATATCTAGTCCCTCATACACCAGGCCCCGAAGGTCGTCGGGATATTCCCCGAAGACTTTTGGGGTTTGCTGCATCACGGCCTCGAGAGTCAACCAGCATTCGCTTTGATGGATCGGTATTCACTTCGATAAGGATTACTTCTTTGCCTGCTAAGCAAAGAAGGTCTAGATGCCAACCGTTGGTTTTCTCTGTCGTGTCTTCCCTTTTTGGATGACGCATTTTTGTCTTTGATGGCGGTGCTGAAAATTAAGGGCAATGGGGTTGCCCCTTGTAGAACCATTTCTTTACGTCGACGTCGACCTTGTTCCATAATAAAAGAACTCTAGCATGAAGTTGCTACATAGCTGTCTAAGAAATTCCCATGTACTGAATCCCGATCGCTCGCACTGGCGGCGGTGTCTATTGTTTCCTCCGATAACGTTCAAACTGCATTTTTTCAAGCCAATGAGCATGAGTCATAGCAACATATTGTATTACTTTCGTGATCACGTGTATGTGATCGAATGTGCAGAACCCTAGTCAAAGCCTTTATGGATATGATTGACTGTGCAGAACCCATATCAACGTTCTACTAACTTGCGTGGCTCTCGGTTTTATTATCGCTCTTCAGCCATGTTGCTCAACTCCTAGGGTCAAAAAGTTTTGGGCTGTAGGAGTTGAACAATTAAATTGTGTGTTTCAGAATGGCACTACTGAGACGTACAATGTTCCTGTCAACTCTACACTTTCTGTGGGAGGCGAATGTGTCGATACATATGGGAATCAAACTGCCCAGTCTTTGAAGGTGAGTATTCTAGTATTTGATTTCTGTTCACTATGAGAAGTGCTTGTTTATCTATTTTTTTATTTATTTACCCATTTACCTAACTAATGAGAATTGAAACTCACAATCGGCTCACAGAATGGTTGTGCAGTGCACGCATGATTCCTTCAATATTTGTATTATAGTGAAGTGCTGAAACCGAAAATTAATTCTAGGTAGTCGTATCCTGTGCCTCTGGCCGGACGCATAGTCGGTCGGACGACAGCAACGACTGCTGCTGTCGGACGACAGCAACGACTGCAGGTGTCGCATAAACCGCGGTCGCAAATGGAAGGCGACGCGGTCACCCAATGCAAACCCAGACAACACGTGACTGCGCGTGATCGTATTTCGAAAGTCCCACTGTAGTGTGGAATAGTAGCTGCGTATTGATCTTGCAGTCGTTGCTGTCGTCCGACAGCAGCAGTCGGACGACAGCAACGACTGCAAGTGCCGCAGATCGATACGCACCCAATACTGTGCGACACTTGCAGTCGTTGCTGTCGTCCGACCGACTATGCGTCCGGCCTTCTGCAATGCTTTGTTCATATTAATTTTGGAATTGGTGTTCTGGAATGTTACATGTTTAGGTTAGCTTCTTCCCAATGGGAAACAACACTCCGGCCATATCCGCGCAACCGTGGGATTTAAAGTTGGTTTTCGGGCATAGCGACAAGACTACTTTCGAACTACTTCGATATGCACTGCCACGGCTCCAGTGATGGGAATGAATGGCACATTTATTTGTACGTTATTATTTATAGTTGCGTCGAAGCCAGTAATAATGTGCGACTTTTCAGATAATTTCACGAAAACAGCTTCCCATATTGATCTTCAGGGTCACGAGAAAAATGCCTTCAAGGTATGCCGCTGTCAGGATTTATTAACAAGATTTGTTTTAAAAATTCTTTGGAACCTTCTAGCGCGACACTAATGTGATGCTGGAGCGGACAGAATTTAATTGGTGTTTTTGCTTTTTTTCGTACTGGGCTTTGCCTGAAAAATATCTTGAAGGGGACCGACAAAAGCGGCTGAGCAACTGCTAGTAGTGAACGCTCGCATTTTTATTAGCGCCCGCAGACTACTTCACGCGCTCTCCAAACAGTCGTTCTGCTCCCTCCAATTATTCTTCCTCTTACTGTTTTCTTTTTGCTTCATCGAAAAGCAGATGGCTCCCATTCCAGTGCTCCACGTCCGATCTTTCTCTCTCGAATGATTCAATGATCGTGATGAAAAATGTGCGTGTCATCGCTTTTGCCGCGTTGGACAATCCTGAACTCCCGAAGGAACAAGGTATGTACAGATTGATACTGATGATGAGATGTACTAGTGTTGAGCTATTCGTTTGCAGCCTTTGAACAGTGTCTACTTGACTCACGTACTTCGGATATTGTACCGATCGTTGTTGGTGCATGTCTTGCTGGACTCGTCGTCATCGTTCTTGTCGCTTACCTGATCGGAAGAGCTCGCGCTAAGCGTCAGGGTTACGCTAGCGTCTAGAGGCCTTTTCATTAAGAAGCATTCCGCTTTCTGACCATCATGTTGTGGTATTCATCCCTTTATTTTTATGGAAGTATTCATTTTTTTTGTATTGTGAAACTCTTTCATTCAGTAATTTCGATGTTACTTGCTTACTTCATAATTACTGAAAGAAGGAGTTGTTTAGTTTATTGATTATCACTGGACGCGGCAGTATCGTTGTGTCCACCATCACACTTGTTGAAACTGCGATACCTTCGAAGAGCCTTATTAGTTCTGTTCATGTTTTGTGGATGTTGTAAGTTTACATTTAGAAGATGCGTTTGTCGCGTGTAGTCATTGACGTGTATCTTTTGAAACTTAACTTGTTATCTTTTGCTACATTGTTGTGCTGAATAATAAAGTAGTTTGAATTTTAATTATTTTTCACAACGTGGTAAAATCCAGAGTTATACTACGCGTGTCCAGTCCAGTCAAGTGAACAGCAGCATATCAGTAACGGTTCATATTTTGCGAACTAAATTTTAGTAGACGCATTAGCAAGATCTTTTTGTTGCTTTATTTCAACTTGACGAGTAAGCTGCGAATGTGATTGCTCACACACAAGTAGCGAACGAATAGTAGTTTTCGATTTCCGGTGGTGCGTTCTCACAGAAGTTTGATACTTGTTTCTTCATTGCCTGGACGCCACCTTTATGCTTGTAACTTCACACCCCTGTTCCGCATTCTTCTAGCCTTCAAGGTCCCGGTTTCAGAGCTGTTTTCAAAATCAGCTGGTTACAGTTGCAGTGCGGTAGATCCTTTGGTCTATCAAGTTCATTCTTGAGCTA